ACTCTTAGGTTTAAGCGATTCTCTTGCCTCAGCCTCCCAAATAGCTGGGACTACAGGCGCCCGCCACACCTGGCTATTTTTTGGTTGTAGTTGTCATTGCTGTTTGGCGGACCCAGACTGGATTCCCAACCTGCTAGCCTCAGTGTATGTGGCTGGCACCTTAGCCGCTTGGGCTAGGCACCGAGCCTGTCCCCAATATTCTTAATGAGAACCCGTGGTGAGGGGCAGGCCTGGGAGGAGAATCCGTGCAAGGTGAGGGTGGACCGGGCAGGGGGCGCCACCGGGCGATACCGTCGCAGGAGGGGCAGCAGGGCCCCTGGCGAGGGTGAGCGCAGCGAGTGGGCGGGCAGGGCAGCCGCTGGCAGGACACAGCACCGTCAAGGCAGAAGCAGCGGCGGCAGGGTTCGCCGGGCGGGGAAATGTGCTCCTGGTGGTGGGCAGGAACCGCGCCACCTGGCAGCAGGCAACTGGCAGCAGGAGAGGCGGCTGTGGCAAGAACTGGCGTCAAGAAGGAACAGGAAGAGGCCGCTAAGGGAGCTCCGGCTGCCCGGCCCGAGGGGTGATGCTCTTACCTGGGCACTGCGGGCAGCACTCTCCTGGCAGCAGGAGTGGCTCCAGACAGGGCAGCGGCCGGCAGCGGCGGGCCAGGCACTGCACATTGCCGCTCTGAGGAAGGACAGATGTGCCAAGCCAGGCCAGGGTGGCAGTGGGAGGCCAAGGAGACCATCCCTCCCACTCACATCTCTGTAGCCCTCTCCTGGCCTCCCCAGATCCCAACCTTAACTTCTCTGGGCTTCTCCCAACCAGGTGGCAGACTCACCAGACAGCGACACAAACGGCATGGGTCAGTGGGGTGAGGGAAGTCTGCTCCGTTGGGGTACTCTTTCCCTCCGAAGGCACAGCCTGGGCGAGGGGCATCTGTAAGCCTACCACGAAGGCCATGCTGCCCTCGGGGGCCAAGCCGCCCCAGGAAATTCCCATCCGGTCCACCTCACCACTACAGTCGTTCTTGCAGCAGGTTCCAGGCAGCGGGTGGGCACATAGGGGCCTGGGGCAGGCACGAGGCCGGCAGTGGGCATGGCCTTCTTGGCATTGGCATTCTTTGCAGGGGTCTCCAGGGTGGGAGAAGTTCTCACCATCCACAAACACCTGTTTCTCCAGGATGCAGTCTGGGTGGGGAAAGAGGGGGGCAAGAATGAATGCAAAGTTTGACAGACCGTCCACCCCTGGAGCCCACAGCCACTGTGCAGGTGCCCATTTGGAAGCTGTCCCTGCAGAGAGAGAGGAGGCAGGGGCTGCGCACATGCGGGCAGGTGTGCACATGGTTCTGAGCTCATGCCTCCATGTGTGCATTTGAGGCCGTGTGTGTCTCTGAGGGAAAGACTAGAGTTTAGACAAGTGGGTGCATGTGTGTGTAACACACATCCTGCACAAACTCCATGCAGGCAGGGACATGTCCCATGCATCCCAGCACCCAGTCTCCTACATGGCAGGCTCTATATTTGCTGCATGAACCTGTGTTATACAGGTAGATATGTTGCATGGGGGCTACTGGAGGAGGAAATGGAGATAGGAGAGGAGGCTGGTGTAGGAACAATCCTACCCACAACCTCTGAGTTCTGCAGAGTTCTAAGCTGTGTTAGACAGGAAACAATTCAGAAGGCCATTGCCTGCCTGCCTTCCTGCCTTCATTTTTTGAGACAGTCTCACTCTTGCCCAGGCTAGAGTGCCATGGAGTCAGCCTAGCTCACAGCAAACTCCTACGTTCAAGTGATCTTCCTGCCTCAGCCTCCTGAGTAGCTGGGACTATAAGCACCTGCCACAGTGCCCAACTAATTTTTTCCTTTTGGGGGGGTTTGGGGGGACAGTCTCACTTGGTCACCCTTGGTAGAGTGCTGTGGTGTCTTAGCTCAACAGCAACCTCAAACTCTTGGGTTCAAGTGATCCTCTTGCCTTAGCCTCCCAAGTAGCTGGGACTACAGGTGCCTGCCACAACACTCGGCTATTTTTTAGGGACGGGGTCTTGCTCTTTCTCAGGCTGGCCTTGAACTCCTGAGCTCAAATAATTCTACCGCTTGGGCCTCCCAGAGTACTGGGATTACAGGCATGAGCTACCATGCCTGGCCCAAGGCTATTGCTTTCTAAGGTACCTGTTGTGCCCATAGGGCCATGGGACAGCAGGATCCCAAGCCACTCAGACATAAGAAACCATACCTGGGCACCTGGGGCAGCACTGGCTGGGTCCACTCTGGGGCCTAGCACAGGTCGTGGGAGGGCAGTTGATCAAGGAGCACTTCACAGTCCCATCCTGGCAGCAGGGGAGACAGCAATGGGGGTGGGTCCAGAAGGGGCTCAGTAGCGTGGCAGCTGGCATCAGGAAGTACCTTGCAGTGGCAGGTGTGGCAGGCACTATCTATGTCTGTGAAGTTCTGCCCGTTGGCATATACTTGGCCGTGGTAGGTGCAGCTCTCACAGCTAGGGCAGCAGGCACCTGTGTGGGGCAGGCTGGTCAAGGTGGGCCCAGGAAAGCAGGAAAGAAAGCCAAGATAAGCCGGGGCACTCACCAGGGGGCTGGGTGGAGTGCTGGCAGGGGGCTGGGGGGCAAAGTACAGCCCTGCACACAGGCTCCCCATCTTGACAAGAGCAGGAAGTACAGGGCTGACCATCAGGCTCCCACTGGACCCCCTCAGCAAACTCCTCTCCATCCAGTACACAGGCTATAATAAGAGGGATGTCACAGGGCAACCTAAACAATGCCTGCCCGTTCCTGTCCTTTCCAGACCACAGGGACCCTGGCTTCACCATCTCCACCATAGCCTCTGAACACAATACAAGATGGCTAGTGACCTTACCAGCCCCACCCCCTTACCGAGAAGGAACACCCCTTGCCCCCGTCCTGTGGAGGCAGTACCCTTCCTTTCCCAGCTGCTCCTCCCACCAACACACACACTCACACACACACACCTCGGCAGAGCTGGGGGCCGGAGGTAGGTGGGAGACAGGGGGCGACCGGGCACTCCTGCTCCTCACAGGAGACCTCGCCAGCCTAGGAGGGAGGCCAGGTGAGAGACCCTCAAAGAGTGAGCCAGATCCGGGCATGGGGAGGCAGGACAACCTACCTGGCAGGAGCAGCGCAGGCAGCGGCCACTCTCTTGGAGTCTGAAAGCCTCCTGGCTCTGATACTGGTGTCCCCGGTACTGACAGCCTGGATAGGAACACAGGACAATGGGGGTACAGGACTGGAGGCTGAAGGAGAGCCTCATGCCACCTCAAGACCTCCCCAAAACCCTGACAAGACCCACCCAAGTCTTCCAGGTGCCATGGTGCTGTTTGCCATGAGGTGAGGTGAGGACTCACCTGTGAGACAGGAGCTAAGGTCCAAGGGAAGCAGCTCCACACCTGGAGTCTACCAGGCCAGTGCCTCCCCTCCAGCGGAAACCCCAGCCCCTACTCACCATCACAGACAGGGCAGCACTGCCCAGGGATCCTGCCTGGGTGTCTGCAGGGCACGGGTGGGCAGGGCAGAGGCTCACACTGTACGCTCCCATTCTGCCAGCAGGAACTGGTCAGCATGCAAGAGGCAGGCAGGGAAGCTAAGCACTCCCCCACCCTACCCCACCCCGCCAGGCAACCACCACACTCACAGCACAGCGGCAGTGCAAGCAGGGGTCCTTGGAGCCCACAGGCTCCCCACTGCGATGCTCCCGCCCATTTAGGAAACAGCCTGTTAGGAAGAGGTGCCTCAGGTCGGGGTCTCCTGAGGTTCTGTGGAAGACCTGAGCTGGGCCATCACTCAGCTCTCTGAGTCCTCCAGGTTGCCTTCTGTTTTCAGAACACTGCTCTGCCCACAACTCACCATCGCACACAGGGCAGCAGGTGCCCGGAAGGGGTCGGGCAGGGTATGGACACAGGCTAGTGCAATCCCGCTGGCGGCACTGGATGCGGCCCACCTGGTGGGGGATGTTAAGCGGATGAAGGGGCCATCAGGGATCAGGCACTGGGCAGCAACAGAGTTCGAATCCAACTATTCACATATTAGATGTTGCTATAGGTTGAATTGCACCCTGCCGTTCCTACTCTGAAGTCCTAGTAACCAGTGTGACCTTAATTGGAAATAAGGTTGTTGCAGATGTAATTACTTAAGATGAGTAGGGTGGGCTCCTCATCAATATGACTGGTGTCCTTCTAAAAAGGGGAAATTTGGACACAGACACAAGCTAGAAGGCAAAGATTTGGGTGCTGGAGAAGCCAAAAACACCAACCATCACCAGCAAACCGCCAGAAGTGAGGGGAGAGGCCTGCAACAGTTCTCCCTTCTGTCCCTCCGAAGGAGCCAACTCTGCCCACACTTTGATCTCAGACTTCTGGCCTCCAGAACTGAGAGTGAACAAATTTCTGTTGTTTAAGCCACTGTGTGGTACTCTGCAGCCCTCAGAAACTAATACAAATCTATAATCTAGCATGTCACTTCAGCTCTCTGTGGCTCACCTTACTCATCTGAAAAAAAAAATGAAATGAAATAAGGTGTCTGGAAGCTGGCACTTGCCATGGTGACAGCTGCTACTTCCCCATGGCCTGTCCCAAACAGATCTACGCTCAAATTCACACTCACATCCTTGCTCATCAGGGTCTGGGCAGCCAGCGACTTCTCAGGAGAGAGGTGTCAGTGTGGACAGAGAGGGGGAGGACATGGTTGCAAAGCAGTTGGGTGCCCCATGCCCCTCACAATAGAGTCCCTAGTCCTTAGCAGGCTGTCAGAAAACTACAGGGCACTGGCTTAAGCCCCAAGGAACACAGCCTCCCTCACAACATTGCCTGGACATCAGGGCCCACATGGCCCTGCCTGCCTCGCCAAGGTGTTGCCCTTCCTAGTCCCTACACCTGGGGCATCTTCCCCAGGCCTCCCTACCCAAATCCTCTTGCCTTTAAGGACTAGATGAGCACAGTTCCTCCCATGAGGATGTTGTAGATCTGTGCTACCCAATAGAAATATAATGCAGCCAACTTACACCAATTGCTCTAGAAAAATTTTAAAAGTAAAAAGAAATGGATGAAATTAAATTTTAACAATATGATCCAACATGTACCATATATCGAAATGTTATTTCAACATATAATTTACATAGTGGACAAATGAGCTATTTTACATTTCTTTTTTTTTTTTTTTTTCTTTTTTTGGTATAGGTTCATTCCCCAGTAGCTGGGACTATGGATGCCTGCCACAATACTCAGTTAATTTTTTTTGGTAAAGTTGGTGTCTGGCTCTTGCTCAGGCTGGTCTCAAACTCCTAAGCTCAAAGAGAGAGATCCTCCCACCTCAGCTTCCCAGAGTGCTAGGATTACAGGCATGAGCCACCAAGCCTGGCCTTGGAACAGCCACATTTTGAGAGCGCAGCCACATGCAGAAATGCAACTTTTACAGCAACACATCCTGCCCCACCTCTCCCCTCCTTCAGCTTGTGAGTTCCTTGAGTTCAGTTCACAAACCCAGGCTGAACAACCACTGTGCCCAGAGCTGGGCATACAGTGCCTGCCCTCACAACCCCCAGTATTCAGTCTTCTCCCCCAGGTCCCTCCTCAGTGTCTATGAAAAAATAGAATATGACAGGCCTGAGGGGACAGAGGGCCGCCCAGGAGCAGCCTCCGTACTCACCAAGCACTGGCAGATCTGGCAGGGGTCCCCAGGTGAGGTCCACTCTTGGCCATGCTCCCGGCGTGAGACACCCTCTGTACAACCTGGGGTGGGGGGTACAGAGAGGAGGCCTGGTGGGAACACCCTGGATCCCAGCCTTAGCCTGCTCCCACCCACTCCTTGGCTCTCTCCTGAGCTGAGCTGAGACCAGATGGGGTCAAGCCCTGTCTAGACTCCTCTGTGGCTTCCACTGCCCCCAGGAAGAGTGAGGCCCAAGCTCCTTGGCCCAACCTTCTGCAGTACATAGCATAGCCCAGCTTGCCCACCTACCGCTGGCCTCTCTTACCTCTCACTTTAAGCTCTGGCCATTCTGTCCATGCTTCCTCAGACCTTCCCACCTAACATGAACCCCCACACCTCAGGGTGTCCCCTTTTCCTTGAATACCCTCTGCTTTTCCAAGCCATCATTTAGCTCACTGCTGTTGATCCTCAAGACCACCTCAGGAGAGGCTGCCACAGGATGCATTCCCTCCTGTCCCCTTGCTGGTCCAGGTCTCCTTCCTCTGAGTCTCCTCCAGCACCTCATGCCTGCTTCTATTCTGGTCTTTGCATTCATGTGTGACTTAGTGTCACTCTAGTGGTCATCTTTGAGGCCTGACTTTGGTCTTATGTGTTTGGGAAGCACAAAGCAGGTAATGAGCATTTACTAAGGAGCACTATGTGGTATAGAATGCCATCACCTGCAAATGGGGAAACTGAGGCACTTAGTTACACAGAAAGGGGCAGAGGCTGAATGTGAGCTCAGGTGTTTCAGCTCCAGCATAGGCTTAGATGGGCATCGCTCCCCCAGTGACCAAAGCCCATCAGAGGCCAGCAGGTGACTCTGAAGTTTGAGAAATAGTGTGGCTACCTGTGGCTCCACGAGGGAAAGGCAGGGCTTCTCTCACCTTGGCAGGTTGGGCAGCAGTGCCCAGGCCTCAGGACTGGCTTGGGGCAGGGGCTGGGCGGGCACTTGATGGGCACACAGTGAACCAGGCTCCTCTGTAATGCACCGGTAGTTGTGATGCCTCCAGGCCTGGTGTCAGGTATCCTCAGTGGCGTGGGGCACAGGGCAGGGATGGAGGGAGAGCCTCACTGGCACCAGCTCTCAGGAGGCATGTGAGGAGGCTGGAAGAGTGGCAGGCATGGCCCAGGGCAGGGCAGGGGTGTCCAAGGAAGAGCAGGGCCTGGCAGAGGGTTAGGACTCACCAGGCAGGAGCACTGGAGACAGGGGTTGGAGCTGGACAGGAAGATGGCCCCCTCCTCGTAAAGCTTCCCCTCATACTCACAGCCTGGGGAGGGTTGCCAGGATGATAGGTGGGTCACCAGAGAGCAGTGTGGGTGGACATCACCCAAGGGAAAGTATGACCCCAAGTAGGAATTGGACCTTTTGAGGCAGAGGGGCTAGAGGGGAGGAGCAGAAGGTCACCTGGCCGGCAGACCGGGCAGCACTCCCCAGGTGGTGTGTAGCTGTCCAGGCAGTTGAGCTCAGAGCATGAGGGCTGCTGGCACTGCACAGTCCCTGCCTGTAGGGCAGACACTGAGCCCTCCTGCCCTTTTTCCCTCCCTCCCTTTCCATCATCCTAGCCTGTTACTCTGCCAGCCTAGCAGGCTCCAGGCCCTGTTGTCTGCCCCTGCCTCATTCCCAGATTGTGCTTGGCACAGCCAGACCTGAGCTCTGCCAAGCAGCAGGGACATGGGTGGTAGCCGGGGCCAGGCCCTGATTCCCTTTCCTGGCAGGTGCAGATGACATGGGGCTCTGGATGACATGTTTGCCCAGCCCTGTGGCCCCCAGGGAAGCCTGCAAAGCCAGGCCCAGGCTCCCAAGTGAAAGACCCAGAAGAGTGGGTGCCACATCAAGGGAGATAATATTTTAATATTTACCACAACACTCCAGCAGATGGCGGTAAACCATCTGATGGGAACATAACATACTTCCTTTAAGCAGATGGAAGTAAAATGTTGATAAAGGGGGTGCCTTTTTTATCTCAGCAAAGGCATGATATAAGCTAGTAGTGGCCCTGAGGTACCATGTGCCCAGAAAACTGTGTGTCCCTTTTCTTTAAGCTCCATCAACTCCCAAGACTTCAGTCTTCCTCTCTGGCGAATATTCCCCAGGCTACCTTTCCAGACCTCATGGGTCGGTCTGAGTCCTTGTCTCACCTTTCTTGATACCAGCTGAGACTCCTTTCTGGATGGGGTTGCCAGATAACATTTAAGGCACCCAGTCAAATTTGAATTTCAGATGAATAACGGTAATAATGTCCAAATATTGGAGGAGCTGAAATATACTAAAACCCTAGGCATTGTTTATTTGAAATTTAAATTTAACAGGACATCCTGCATTTTTATTTGACAAATCTGACATCCTTGCCTCCCTATAAGCCATTTATACCATCAGCTCAGCCACGGCCTCCTCTTCCTCCCAGCTCTCTCCATATCTGGCTCCTCTGTCCTGGTTTCCCAACTCCACCTCCACTATTCCATGGGATTCACCAGTCACCACCTCCTGCCCATTATTTAGAAACCCCCCCCTTTCTTTAGCCCTCTGCCATCCCTGGCTCCATGCCTAGACAACACCATGGCAGCCCCCTAACTGGTCTCTCTGCATCTAGCCTATACCAGATGAATATCCTGAAACACCTTTTCCACCATGCCACACTCTGGCTCTTCAGCCTTTAACAGCTCCCCGGTGCCCACAGAACAAAGTCTACACAGCAAAGCTTGTAGCAGCCTGTTCCTACAGCCTTCCCAGACTGATTTCCTTAAGTACACCTCTGCCCACCCTGTCCTTGTGCCCAGAGGGCCTTCCAGTACTCCCTCTCCTTCAGGTGCTGCAATCCTAGTTTCCTTGAAGATCAGCTCAAATGACCTGCTGTCTGTGGAGCCCACCCTGACTGCCTAGCCTGGATGGGCATCCCCTGCCCTCCTGTCCTCTCCTCTGGCAAAGCACATAGTATACTGCCTTCTATGCTTCCTCTTAATATGGCCATTGGATCTGAAACCTTGGATTAGATTAGCTATAAATTTATCTTCTCCACTAGATTAGAAGCTCCCTAAGGGCAGGGAACAGATCAAGTGTCTGTTTCCCTTGTGGTCTCTGGCTCAGCCCCAGCCCTAAAGCCCAGTATTTGCTGACTTGGGCTCTGCACCTCCCCCACCCCCTGGCCATTGTCAGAAGAAGTTGGCAGACACTCTCTGGACCTCCCCCACCCTCATTCACTCTCAAGTGGGAGACCATGACTGTGGCCTCCTCAGAGTGTGTGCAGGAGGTGGGGCCAGTGCTAGCAGGAAGTGGACCTGGCTCACAGTATGGGCAGCACACTCCTGGCTCAGGGCAGGCCTCTCTTGGGCATGGCTCTGGGTACCGGTTATGCCTCCCTGCTGTGGGACGCAGACCAGGTGGCTGTACAGGCCTCAGAACCCTAGAGGGCAGGGCCTCCAGCACCAAACCTCACCCCAGGCTGGGACATGTCAGAGGAGCAAGAGGATGATTTAGCTGTGGGTAAGTGGGCTACCCTTGGTCCCAGGGCAGAAAAGAGATGTCCCCTTCACCCCACCATTCATCTCCTAATGCTCTTGACACCTGGAAGAGGTGCCATTTCTTCCAGGTGCCAACAAATTCCCCACAGGGGAGAGATCCTAGGAAGAGAAGCAAGGGCTTTCTCAGTGGAGAAGCAAGGAAGGAAAGATGGAAAGAAGGTAGACATGGAGCCAGGTGAGAGAGAACAGGCAGGTGAGGGTGCTAAGACAGTAGAGGTGGAAGAGTGGGGACACTGAGGTCACACAAGTAAGGGAGTGATGTTGGATGCCACTGCTTCCTAGATCCAAACCGAAGGGCTCAGGGGGCCCCCATAGGGTGTACGGGGGTGTCAGCCAAGGGCCATTCTGGCAAGGTCTGGGGGAGGGGCAGGCAGACCCATTCTGTGACATCTAGTACAACAGGCTATATCAACAGGTGAGGGAGACAGGTTTGGGACATCCAGGTGGGTCACAGCAGCTCACCAGGCAGTGGCAGGTGGTACAGGGGTCTGGAGAGAAGGTCTCCCCATTGCCATAGGTCTGACCATTGTGGCTGCAGCCTGAGGAGACAGTGCCATCATGTCACTCAGGCACCCAGAGCCACCTGTGGGCCAAGGCAGCCCCAGCTGGTGGATAGGCTGGCACTCACCACAGCAATGGGGCAGGTGGGTCTGGGGAACACAGTGTGCAGTCCCATTGCGGCAGGTACAGGCTGTGCAGGCATCAGGCTCCCAGTGGGCACCCTCAGGCCAGGCGCGCCCCAGCCCCCAACACTGGGGAGAGGCAGGGTGGCACTTGCAGCCCTCCAGCCGCCGCACCCTCACTTGTAGGTCTTGGTTCTGGGGGAAGGAGGTAGGAGATGGCTGGCACTGGTTCAGCCTCCCCCACCATCTCCCAAGATCTGTGGGTCCAAAACTAAGGCAGGATGAGGCGGACATCTGACAACTCCTGAGCAGAGGTGGGTCCCTTTCCATCAGAATCCAGCTTACACAGAGTACTATGGGAGCCTAGGCATCTCCTCTGGACAGAACAGGAACTCAACTCCCTGTCCCATACTTTCCCGAGGATGCCTTATATATAACTGCTCAATAATATTTCCCAAACACAGGAAACAATCTGAAATTACCCCAGAGGTTCTTCATTTGTATAAGAGTTGGTGTTAAGAACTGTACAGTTGGCTCGGCGCCTATAGCTCAACCGGCTAAGGCGCCAGCCA